ACCGTTGTCAGTCCGCTCGGAGATAAGCCCACAATTACCACCCAGCTGAGCTTCTGAACAGCTCAGGCGCCCTACTTGTGCTTTCATATTCCCCCTGCAAGTGCTATAATATCTGAACGCGTAGTATCGCGTTCAGTTCGTGATAGAATGTGTTTTTGACAGCATTTGAACTGCAGTCGGTGGGAGCATATGCGGAAACCACAAACAAACAACGTTTTGTACTACTTCGTGAATTAACCTTAGCTGATGTCGTCAAACGGGCTGCACATAAATGGCTGTTCACCGGAATCCACTCAACCAACGATGACTCAGTCTTGGAGCTGAGAATGATACCTACACTACCTTGACCCGTGAGTGCTGCATCGGGGTCTCCGGATGCGTGCAACCAATAACGAGAAGATAAGCCAGGTGCAGTTAATTCAACAACCCGTTAGGGTCATTGATCCTAGTTTCGGGCACACAACACACATCAATACCCAGTGTGTCCAGGGTGCGTGCGCGTACAGCCTGTTGACTCATTTGTCTTAGAGTGCGGACGTTGAATTTCGCCATGGAAACGGGACAGTGTGGCCTTATAAGGAACTGTTGCTGACAGGCTTCCGGTGCGTGTCTCGGGGTGGTTCTACTCCAGTGGCACTTCGGTTGCTGTCACTGAGAATTATAGAAGGAAGGTTAGTAATGGGGTCGGGATGGGAGTAAGAGAAAAAGGTGGAAAAGAAAGAAGGGAGGCGCCAGCAGTACCATGTTTTCATTTATCTGCCTTGCTGTGTGAAGCAGATAAGACGACCCTTGATAATCTGCGCGACGGCCGATGCAGGATGAAGTTTATGTTGGAAGAAAAATTCGGCTGTATGTGGGCTGGGATACTGCTCGGGCTCCCAGACCTAGAGAGGAGGACGATTAGGGTCCTCATCCAAAGCCTTTGGCTTAAAAGCCTGTCTGCAAGGCAGCGGGGAGGTGTCAGTGATTTAGTTTTACAGTGATAGACGCCATCCCATTTCAAACCCCAACCTGGAAGACCAGGAGACTGAGTTTGTCTGACCTCACACCATTGACCAAGCTGGTAGGAGTAACTCTCAAGCTGCCTGAAGGTACCACCCAGTAGAGCTCAATGGATCAAAATGGTACGCACATCGTCGCACCACGTAAAGGTCCAGTCTCGTTGCGAGGGATGATGTTCATGCAGCGGTTGGGGAGGCATCTATCCGGATGCCAATTTGCTCTTTAGGTCATCGCTGATCGTTTGCAGTTCCACGATAGCGGGTGTCCGGTGTGCAAAAAGTAAGTGCCGAAAGTGAAATGTGCGTACTACATTTCCTTTGCATTGCAGGTGCTTTCATGCAAAGATTTTCAACACGGACTTACTTCAGGTACTGCATTAAAGGTACTCGAGATGATGGTGAAGATAAAGAAAGTGATGCCTACCAACACTTGGATGTCGTCATCCGATTCCTACTGTGATCAGTGGCGTAGGTTTGCTAAACTACGCGATAACAGAATATATGTTTAAAGCCCCTGAAAATCTTTGCGAGTAAGTGTTACTTTGGTGTACGTAAAATGTGCAAGTAACCTTCAGTGGGGAAATATGCTATCATATTGAGGAAGTTATGAGATCGCGGCTGGGACCCTTTCAGATAGATTTCTTTAAAGCTAAATTGCATCTCCGGCGAGCTCTGACGTCAAATACCACTTGCGATTTCCGGAGACCTAGAGGCCACCGCTTCTGACCAAGCTGGTGTCGGGGTTGCATTGAGTGACAACGCTGAGGTCGCTTTGCTTGACTGGGTCCCAGTCAACAGTCGGCTAAGTGCAGTCAGACTAAGAGGTTACTGTAAGTTACGTAAGCGTCGAGATGTTACGATTGCCTTGTTTATCATCTCCGCCTTCCCCCTACAGACTGCAGCCCGGATGTAGTCAAGGATTGGTTTTACCAACAGTTACATGATCTTCTGCCTTCTTCCAAAATGTCTGACATTGTCATTCTTGCCGTAGATTTTAACGTACGAGTGGGCCGCCTGCCACCGAGCGAACACCATCTTGTGGGTAATTTTGGCCTCGGTAACAGCCGACCAGACAATGGAGACAGACTATTGACTCATTGTTTTGATCAGCGCTTGTTACCTTCGTGTACAAGTTTTCGCCATTCGAAAAGACAGGCTGTTATCTGGCGTCCGCCTTCTCCAACACAAGAATGGTCCCAGCTTGACCACATAGCTATTAGCTACAGATGGTGCAGAAGTGTAACAGACTGTTGATCGTACTGGTCAACTTGTCTAGACTCCGAGCACACAATGGTTCGCGCCAAATTTTACATACTTTTCTGCGCATCATCCAGAAGTACGCACTACCGACCGAATGTTGAAAATCTGTAACCTCTTGCGACGTTAGCCAAGTACCAGGCTTCTCTGTCAACACTACTTGCTTCATCCTCTGTCGATAGTCCCAATTCGCAATGGATGCACATCAAACACGCCTTAATTTCTGCCAGTACTCTCAGTGGTGCATTTGCTTGTCACTTGCTAAAAAACTGGAGCACCACTGACTCCTTGTCGCTGAGAGACAAACGCTGCTTGATCCCAGCTGACACCAGCTGTAGTGAGGAACACCAATCTCTGGTTCGAGAGTTGCGTAGGAGATTACAGAAGAACCTAGTGATGTGAGCATGCTATAGAACTTGAAGTTGCTAATCTCTCTGGTAATACCAGGAAACTGTTCCACCTCCTCCGATTCACTGAAGGCTTCCGATCAGGAGTAAGCGAAACAATCTGCCAAGATGCTGGCTTCCTAATCACCAAACTTCAACGACGGTTGGAACGATGGACCTGACGTTTTTGCTCCCAGTTTCCCTGGCCGCCAGCTCCATGAGTTTCTCCTGGGCCGCTCAATGGTGATGACTAGACTATCCCAACTGCTCCTCCCTCTCACCAGGAAATCTGGCAAGGTCTCTGCTGCCCAAAGTTTTATAAGCCACCAGGCCCTGAGGTCATTCCTCCCGCACTATCTAAACTTGCGGCTCTTCGCCGATTCGAGCATGCACCGCTTTGTTCTCGGAAATCTGGACAAAAAAGGAGGTTCCATCATCTTGGTGTGGGTCGATAGTCGTCCCCATCTTCAAAAGAGGCCTGCGCACAAATTGCTCCAGTTACGTAGGCATCAGTTTGGTTCCCGTCGTTTGTATGATTCTGGTGTCCATCCTTTTTCGCAGACTACCTCCGACGCGTGAATTACTACAGCGAGAAGAACAGGTTGGGTTCCGCCCTGGTCGCGGCTGCATAGATCAGATTTTCACACTCCGCCAGATTCTCGAGCTCCGCCATGTGTATCAAATGCTAACGATTTTTGTGTTCTTAAATATCCGTGCTGCCTCCGATTCTGTCGAAAGGGCTGCATTGTGGCACTGCTTGTTGTGATGTATTCCCGGGAAGTCCGCTTCAATTCTACGTGCTCTGTATAGCCTGATTTCGGGTAGTTAGGGCTTCTGGCAAGCTTTCGCCATCTTTCGTTGTTATTAGTTGGGTTCCACAAAGATGCCCTATCTCCAATCCTCTTCAACTTTGCCATTGAGGATGTCCTCAAAAATGCTCTAGAAGACTTGTTGAACACAGACTTTGAGTTCCACCCAGGTACTTGGGTGGTTGAGCTGGATTACGCTGATGATATAGTCTTGTTGGGTGATGGTCCGCAGGCCGTCCCATTTGCGCTTAACCGCCTGGCGATTGTAGCGTCAACGTATGGCATGCAATAATTACCATCCAAGTGCAAAAAGCTTTTTCAAGACTGGTATACGCCCCTACCTACGCTCACCTTCGATCAGGAAATGATAGAAATGGCACAGCTTTGTCTACCAGGAACGCTGCATAACCGCTGGTGAGGCTGTTGGAAATGAGATTTCGATGCGTACCTCAAAAGCTCGTCTCGGCTTCTCCAGGCTGAGGCATTTATGACATCGCCATGACATCCGTCTCACCATCAAAAGATAGGTTTCTAGTGCTACTGTCCACGCTGTACTGTAGTACGGTTACGAGACTTGGCCTGCTCGTACCGAGGACCGACGGTCTACGAGAACCTTTGCTTGCGGTCCATCGCCCGTGTGTGGTGGCTGAACCACGTAATCAACGTTGAAGTGGTGGAAACAGCCTCTCCCTCGACGCGCTTGTTTCACTGCGCCAACAATCATGGCTCGGACTCGTACTGCGTATGCCCATTGAGCGTCTTCCGCGTCGTGCCACGTTAGCCGTCGCTGGACAGGTTTGAAGGAAGCGGTGTAGTGGACAGCTTACAACTTGGAGAAGCAGGATGAAACAGCTGACAAAACCGTTGGCCACGGTTGGTGCCTCCGGACTCCCTGGATGGGGTCCCAAGATATTGAGTGCGGTTGCTTGGAAAGTTCAGAAGTTATGGCTCGAAACCGAACTCAGTGGCGAGCGATAATCTCTGCTTGTTGTGAGGATTCTCCATCCATCCCCATTAAACAACATCAACGAACTCAAAACTGAGTGAAAAAGCACAAAACTATTTTCTTTTACTCAGAGGGTGTTTTGCTATTCCGCCATATATATATATATGTAGGTATGTATATAGGATAGAATGTCTCAGTTGACTCGATCAATGCTTGTTTATCAGTGCCCGTGCCTCTGTGATGCACATTACATACGTCATGCTACGAGGCGCCCATCCCAAAGGATTTACTAGCACATCCCGAGGTGGTTTCCTAGAAGTGAGGTGAGCTCTTCTAACATCTCCAACAATTAGCGCTTCCTTGAGTAGGTTTACATCTGTTCTGAACACATTTTAATAGTCCTGTGCGTTTTGCGCGAATTCCGGAAACATTCTATGTCTAGTGCTTAAATTGTTAACACACCATGCTCAAGGGGTGAAACTGTTACGAAGCTAACAATTGTCCCCTATTCTCTATTCTACTACTACATGGCTAACGAATGTATTGCAATCATATCAGTACAAATAGGAAGATCGCACTTCAGCTGCAGTTATATAGTTACCTGACATTCCAGAACATGTTGGTACGGTTTTTTGCCTATCTTTTCTGACAATTTGTGAAAGGTGGATAACACACTCCGTTTTTGGTGCGCCCTTGGAGAGCCAAAATTCACTTGGTTGGTATCGAGCCAGAAATTTTCAGTAGTGTTCAGGATGGATCGCAGTTTCGACCCAGGTGGAGCATCCTGGTCGGTGAAGGGGGCATTCGGGCATAATGTTATATCTGGGTAGGTGAAGTCAATGTTGCCGTACTTGATCTCAGTCAATATTGGAGAGCTTAGATATTGCTTTAACAAATAGCCTCCGTGCGCTAAAAACATACTGGCCATGGACAGTACTACGAAACTATAGTATATCCTGAGCTTTCCCCTTAGTCTTTGTGATGTGTATGGGGCCATGAAGGGTAGTAGTTTCCGCAAAGTCTAACCATATGGCCCATCGATTTCGGCGAAATTTTTCTGCAAATTTATTTGTCCGATCTTGTAAGCGACGTTCTTCTTCATCCTCAGCTATCGTGGTTCTTCGGCGCAGTTCAGGCATGATTCCTTCTACAGTATCGCAATCACGTGAACCTTGGTTAACTGTGAAACTACGCTATTGATTGGTTAACCAAACGAATGATGGGTGTAGACGTAAACTAACTAGCAGGAGAGCACTAGAAATTCGCATCCTAGTGGACAAAAGTGTTACCACAAATCGTTGAGGAGATGTGGCATTTCAGATATCCGATTGTCAGCAAAGAGACCTGATCAGGATGAGATCCAGACTAAGACTAATTGCCTATTTCTTATATAGATACATATATATAGAAAGAGAGAGTCAAACCTGCCCAAGGCGATCACTCAAGGCACCGACAAAAAGTGGTCGCCATGGACAGCTTCATTTATAGGTGGCACTACTCGTGATGTACCCCATTTGTTGATAAACCTCAAATGGTTAACTAGGTCCGTGAACTGAAAACATATATACTCAGTTTTACCTTTTAACTAAGGCACAACTGTAGTGGTGTATAATGTGATATAGATGCAGTAAAGTTATAGTTTCAGAGTCAACATTTTAAAAACTGAGCCGCAATTCACTGAAAGTTACAAGCTTTGGAAAAATCATACACGCCATTTTTGTTATCATAATCATTTTTCACTAGATGAAAAAAATCAAGTATATTGGCCTGTTGCTTGGCAGTTGAAATGAAACATGAAATTAGTTTTCCCTCACGTTCATGATAACTGTAAACACGTCAGTGTCCTCTATGTTTTACGTAGGAGCGGAAAATATCAACAGCACCCTGTGCGTCTGTGTATGTACACGTTTTCAGTACGTCAGCAGAATCCTGTTTCTGCTCGCCGGATGATTCACTATCTTGATCCACAGCTGCTAAAATTGGGTCAGGCAGGTCCCAGTTATTATTTGTTGTCTTACGGGTTTGCAGATAAGAATTAATCATATGGCTATCAGCTAGTTGAAATCCAAGCAATTCCTCTGAAAGAGTATGCAAAGGAATAGAGGTTGAAGGCGGTTCAATTTGCTCAAATGTCGTAAGACCTTTGTATTGCTCTCTCAGAATCTATTACTACAGGTTATGTCCACTGACGAAATCAGACAACCAACCGTTTGACGCTTTAAATTCCGGGTTTTGCAATTCATTCGCGAAGTGCAGCACTGGTCCTTGAATCAGGGGTCCAGTTATCAGGGCATTTCACGCAAGCGCGCACTGGCACTATTTCCAGAAAAGTGCGTTTATGTCGTCGATACCTGTTTTATACTAATCTTCGTTTCAGTCTTAGTGTGTCGTCCTAAAATCATGCAAGAACTAGGCTTTTCTCTTCCATAAGAGGAGATATCTTTCCTACTTCGAAATAATCCACACTGTCTGTGAAAAAGTCCCTTCTTGATATGCATCATTTGCATTTGCTGAATTAGAACAAGGCATTATGTCCTTCAAATACCAATTAATCTATAAAAACGAACCTGGATATTCGGCATCAATATCCGACATGGCATTATAAACTGTTAGGGTGGATTTTGCTGATCCACTCATGATAATGGGATTCTGATATAATTAATTGAGGTTCTTCGCAGCCAGTTTCCAATTCGGATGTTAGCACAAATGCCCGGAAAATAATTAGAATGCAGTTTCAGCAGATTGGGCATCATCAGTGGTGCGCATCCATCGGATGAAATGAGGATTCGAACTCTTGACCACCAGCATCTTGAAAAGAGTCAGCAGCTTATGCCACTGTGCCACGTAGGAGAGCCTCGGAACGTCATGATTTACAACCTGACTGCGATATTGCATGTCCAATCCACTGTTGGCATGCTAGTTAAGAACGTTGCACGGGACACGGTTGGCCGCGAAATACACGACGTCCACTAAGAGTAGCTATGTACGACATAGCATTTAGAAACTGTTAGGACGGATATAGTTGATGTACTCACGAGTAGGGGGTTTTGATATAATTACTTGCGGATCTTCGCAGCCAGCATCCAAAACAGATAGTCGTCCACATTCCGGGAAATGCACTAGACTACACTTTCAGCCTGTTTGGCATTATCAGTAGTGCGCATCCACCGGACACATCAGGAATCGAACACCTTACCACCAGCGGCTTGAACCGCCAGTCAGCATACGTTGCCACTGGGCCACGGGGAACAGCTTCCGACCGTGATGATTTACAAGCTAACTGTTATATAGCGCGTCTTATCCTTCACTGCCATGCAAATTATGAACGTTGCAGAGGACAGGGATGGCCCCGAAATACACGACGTCCACTATCGGTAGCTATGTACGACATTGCATATAGAAACTGTTAGGTCAGATATATTTTGATGTACTCATGAGTGAGGGATTTTGATATAATTAACTGAGAATATTCGCACCCAGCTTCGAAAGTGCATTCGGGGAAATGCACTAGAATGCAGTTTCACTCTGTTAGACATCATCAGTTTTGCGCATCCATCGGATCCATCAAAATTCAAACCTTGATCACCGGCAGACTTAATCGCCAATCAGCAGTATATTCGAAGGTGCCACAGAGGAGCTCCAAAGAAAGTCGTTTTACAAGCTAACTGTGATATAGCGCGACATATCCTCCACTGTCGTGCAAGTTAGGAACGTTGCGGTGGACAGGGTTTGCTGCAAAAGACACGACGTCCACTAACAGTAGGCACGTACGACACAGTATTTACAAACTATTGAGGCGGATATTTTTTTTATTGTACTCATGATTAGGGGATTTTGATATAATTAATTGAGCTCCGTCGCAGCCAGCTTCCAAATTAGATGGTAGTCCACACACCCGGAAAGGCACTACATGCAGTTTCAGCTTGTTTGGTATCATCAGTAGAGCGCATCCATCTGATCCATCAGGATTCGAACATATGACCACCAGTGGCTTGAACTGCGCGTCAGGTTCATATGCCACTGGACAATGGATTAGAGCATCGGACTGTCGTCATTTACAGGATAACAGCGATATATCGCGTGTTATACGAGACTGATATACAATTTACGGATGTTGCATAGGAGAGGGTTGGCTCGGAAATACACGGCTTCCACTAAAAGTGGCTATGTACGACAAAGCCTTAAGGAAATGTTAGGACGAATACATTTTGATGTACTGATAAGTAGGGGCTGTTAATATAATTAATTGAGGTCATTCGCAGCCAGCTTCCAAATCGGTTAGTCGTCCATATTCCCGGAAAATCATTAGACTGCAGTTTCAGACCTTTGAGCGTCATCAGTAGTGCGCATCCATCGGATCCATCTGCATTCGAAAACATGACCACCAGCGGTTTGAACCAGAAGTCAGCAGATTATTCCAATGGGCCTCGGCGAACAGATTCGGACAGTCATGATTTGAAAGCTAACTGCGATATACCGCGTCTTATCCTCCAATGCCATGCAAGTTAGGAAGGTTGCAGTGGACAGGGATGGCCCCGAAATACACGATGTCCACTTATAGTTGCTATGTACGACGTGGCATTTAGAAACTTTTAGGTCGGATATATTTTGATGTACTCATGAGTGGGGGATTTTGATATAATTAATTGAGGTCATTTGCAGCCAGCTTCCAAATCGCATAGTCATTCACATTCACAGAAAATCATTAGACCGCAGTCTCAGCCTGTTGGTTATCATCAGTATTGCGCATCCATCGGATCCATCAGGATTTCAACCCATGCCTACCAATGGCTTGAACCGCAAGTCACCAGCTTATGCCGCTGGTCCAGGCAGGACAGCATCGGACCGTCATGATTTACAAGCTAACTGCGATATAGGCGTCTTATACTCCACTGCCATGCAAGTTTGGAACTTTGCAAAGGACAGGGTTGGCTCTTAAATTCTCGACCTTCACTAACAATAGGTATGTACGATATAGCATTTGGAAACTGTTAGGTCGGATATATTTTGATGTACTCAAGAGTAGGGGCTTTTGACATAATTTATTGTAGTTTTTTCGCAGCCAACATAAAAGTTGGATAGTTATCTACACGCCGGGTAAAGCATTAGGCTGCATTTTAAACCTGTTGGGCATCATCAGTGATACGCATCCATTCGATCCAACAGGATTTCAACTTAGGCGCACCAGAGGTTTGAAGTGCCAGTCAGTAGCTGATGCCACAGTTCCACGGGGGATAGCTTCCGACCGTCATGTTGTACACTGTAACTGGGTTTTGGCGCGTCTTATCCTCCAATTCCATGCAATGTATGATGGTATATATATATATATATATATATATATATATATATATATATATATATATATACTGATTACTGATTGGAAGCAGCAAGTAGAGTTTACACTGTGTAGCTACGTCTGTTGTCACTCAGGGTCAAAGACCCGTAAGGTTGTGTTGCGCTTGATATATTTTATGTCGGCAAAGTGTTTGTCCAGGAATTTCTTAAATTCCGACACCGACTTTGCCTCAACTACGTGCTGCGGCAGGCCGTTCCATGCATTCACCACTCTGCGTTCGAAACAGATTTGGTGAGCGACCCGCTTCAAATCCGGTACGACAAACTTGTACCGGTGTCCTCGTGTGCTGCTTAGTGTGCGCAGATGAAACAGCGGTCTCAACATGGGTAATCGCCTAGATGGAATATCCGGTGTGTCATGATGAGGCCAACCTACATTCGACGAGAAGCTAAGGTGTACAGCCCTAGTTTCTTACACTGGTCCTTACGGCACACTTCGTAAGTTGGGAATCAGCCTGGCGGCTACATGCTGCACTCGCTGAATCTTTTCTATCTCACCCCGGGTGATAGGACAATACACTGAAGAGCCATACTCTAGCATAGGTAGTATTATTAAGACGAAGAGGCGAGTGACAATCTTCTTTGACCAAGTGCTGAAGCGGCGCCTGAGCGCCCAAAGCATACGAAGGCTGATTTGGTAAAGCATATTCGTGTTGTCTATGAGCTTTAGTTCGTAGCGTGTGAGTACACCGAGGTCGCGCACGAAAGGTGCGGGATGCAACGGTTGATCAGCCACCGTGTAGGTCCGACTGTGCTCACATTTACCCAGCCTCATGAATTGCAACTTGACCGGGTTGCTTGGAAGGTTGACCTCTGCAGAC